TGGCTGAAAAGTTTGTTGATCGTGTAATGTTTTTCTGCAATTGAGGAACCAGTGACATCCTTTGTATCTGTTGACGCGTAAAAACGCGTTGGTAATGTGATGATGGTAAAAGATTCATTATTGACGTCATCATTTTTATCAGCGATGTATTGTTCGTAAGGTTTAAAGTCTTCGTTTCAGGTTATTTTCTTTTTTCCCTTGGTGTCAGAAGTTTGTGTATCTATATTATTTGAGATAGGAGAAGAGGTAGAGTTTGAGAAGGTAGCGTGCATAGAGTCGTTGGTATTTTGGTCAATTAAAACAAGAGGTTGTGGGTTGTCTATTTCCATAATGGAATCTTCTTTATTTTCGTTTGAGACTTGTGAGGTAATAACTGTTGTATCTGAGTTGATAGTTTGAATGTTGGAAGGTGTAAGAATAATATTTTCAATAATGTTTTCTAAATTATTTGGAGAAGAAGAAGAAAATTTTTTTCATTTATTTGGGATTTCAGTATCAAAGTTGTTTGGGTTTTTCGTTAAAAAGGTAGCAGGTGTTTGAAGTGAAGTATTTTGAGCGTTTGAAGTAAAAAGTTCAGTAAAAGTATTTTTGTTTGAATTTTTTGTTTATCTAGCAGTGGTCATGTTGAAGTGAGAAAGAGTTGTCTGTCATCGTCGTCAAAATCGGATCAGTAGATCAGCAAGAAATCAATATACAAGATTGTTTCGCGATATGGAAAAAAGCATTTTTAATATATTGCGTAATGATCTTGTAGATCGATTTCTCGCTGATCTACTGATTCGATTTTGACGAATTTTAGCTTGTTAGAATCGCCGCATTGGGGAGAATCGGAATCCAGTATCGGTTTTTTTTAATAGCCGGCCTGCTGAAAAAATTTTCTACACTTAAATTTCATTAAGTAAAAAAATTGATATAGATCGCTAAATTGCGCAAAATTGGTCTTAATAATTACACTTCAAATTTTTACTGGATATTATCTAGGTTTTGAGCATTAAATTAAATATAAAATCATGTTTCTAGTATTCGTAGTTGATGAGTTATAAGCTTTTAAAGTCAAGCAACTCTACTTGCGTTTCTTTTGGAAGCTACTGTAGTTCACCTGATCTAAAAATAGATCACCTCAAATTTAAAGCTAGTTTTTTGTTTATTTTGATTTTTTAATTTATTCAAAAAAAATTTTTGGTCACAGAATCCCATTTTCCTAGCAAACCTCCTATTTTACTTATCAGGTAATAATTTATGAGTTGCAAAATATTTGTTGAATATTATTTTTCTTCTTAATGGTTTCATTTATTTTTTATTTAGGAGTTTAATGCTGAAATATCTTTAACTCAACATATAGAATCTATTAATGCTATTATTCACAAATATATTAATTCTCATTCAACTTTATTAGAGTGCTTTAATAAAATACAAGAAATATTGTCTAATGAACTTTAAAAAGCAGAATATTAAGATTATTTAACCAATTTACCTTTTAGCATTACTTCTTCATCAACAGTTCATGTCTTTCTAAAATTGGTCAACAATTTGAGAAATATTTTAACTGATGAGGTTTTTTCTATTTAAAAAACTCAAATTATATTTGTTTTGAATATTATTTAAAGCTAATTCCTTCAAATCAATACTGTACTTGTGATAATATTAGTTTGTATTTGTCATTTGATTAAAAAATTGTTATTAGCCATTTGATACTAATGACAAATTTTATTTTAAAAAAAGTTGATAATTATGATAATTTTGCTTACTTTGAAGGTTGCATATATAAATGTCAAATTGTACTTAAATCTCTTCTTAGTAGAATTAATCTTGTTGATATCATTAAAATTTAGAAAGTTAAACATATAGCAGATAATATAACTTCGTTAAATTATGTAGCATTATTTCAAGACCATTCCCATATTTGTACATATTTACTTTTAGTTAATGAAGGTTTAGTTTGTCATTACTTTTTCAAGTGATATTACAATCACAAAATACAAAATTTGTCTTTAATTTGTTAAAGAGTCAATGGTATAAGAAGAGTGTTAATCCACAGAATATTAATACTTTAAATGATAATTCTGAAATTTTGATTAATATTGGAAGTGAAAGTTCAATAACTTTTATGTGTATAATAAAAATGATTATTTAAACCATGATTCTGAACCTGAATGTATGATTATTAAATAACAAATTTATGATGAATATGCAATATTAAGCTGAAAATTGGTTTTATTAGCATCTGAATTCCATTTAACACATATTTCAGCTACTTTATAGGGTTTAATTCAAGAGGTAAAGCTATCTAATATTAATTCTGTTAATAATCAAGATCAAAAGATAATTTATAATCCATTGCAAGCTAATGCAAAAAGAAAACCTAGTAAGAGATTGAAATTATCTGGGAAAATTATTTCAAAGGAATCTATAGAAAAAGTTAATAATGTTCATGTTCGTTCTAGAGATAGATATATGTGTTGCAATTGCTTTAAAGATGAGCATAATGCATAAAGTTGTTCTACATCATGTAAAATTTGTAAAGAGAATGAACATAATTATTTATATTGTTTAAACAAAAAGAATGTTTAGCAATGTTTAATTTAATTTCTTGTAATTTTATTACTTCTATTAATAATATGCATATTTAATTATTAATTCTTTAATTTTACTATAACTAATTATTGGAATGGATCTGAATTACTACTGTAAATCAAGCTGAAGGCTTGATTTATAGTAGTAATTCAGATCTGGCTTGCTTCAGTCGCCAATTTATTTTTTTTCTCATAAAATGGACATAAACATAATGTATAAATTATATAAAAAGTATAAAAAATTATTTAAAAATAGATATTACAAAAATTTACATTTGAAAAATTACATGATTACATACTGTTTTACAATAGGATATTATTTAAAAAATCATTCTGAACGGTGTTTAAAATTTCTCTAAAATATAAATATTTTCAATTTAAAAACATAATATTAATTAAAGAATTATTTAAATAATAAATTGAAAATGCATTAATATGATTTCAAGCTAATATTAAAAACTTGCAATTTGTATAAAATAAAATGTAAAATATATTTAAATTAATAAAATTAGCTGATTTATAAGTTAATAACTTAGTATTTTATATTATATTGCTTTTAATTAATAATAATTCTTAATTAGTTTAGAGCATAGTAAAGAACTATATAATTCTACATAATATAATTCAAAATGTTTATATATCTAACTGCTCAAAAATTGAGTCAATATGTAACTATTTACTTTTATTACACTTACTTTAGACTTAATAACAGTTTCTGTTTCTTAATACTAACCCTAAAATATTTATTTTACTAATTATTTTTATTGTGATATTTTAAATTAGAATTGCAGGCTTAAAGCTAAAAATAAATAAATGCAATAAAAATAAATATATATTCTTACAATAACTAATATATATATATGCAATGTAATAAATAGAATAAAATATTATAAATATGAATAAAGTATTATTATTATATGATTAGCTTAATTGTATATAAACTAAAAAATATAATAAAATTTAATTAACTAAATTTGTATGTATCGTTAGCTATTTTCACATATTCTTTTATAATACTAATACAATTTTATTATAGAATATAACACTAAAATTGACATGCTGATCATGCTGATCATGCTGTGTAATATTAAATTAATATAAATATAAGCCACTATAGAATTTCTCTTTAGCATACATGATGGATAATAAATTTGTAAGTCAAGACACTTTTAGAAAGCGTAAATCTAGAGAGAATGAAATACTTAACCAGCGTGAATCACATTTTGCAAAGCAATGTGAATACAAGCAGCAAAAAAAAGTAAAGAAAAATATTAAAGAATGAGAAGCGTGTTTGCATGTGACAACAACCAAAAATGCGTAATATTAGCAAAGGAAACAGATGAACAACATGAAAAGTGACTAAATTCTTATCATGAACGAAGAACTTATCTAAAAAATATTATCCAAAATCAAGATCAAGACTTGAATCCACAATAGAAATGACTGTAGCAAAGGTTTAGTCAAAGCAGTGACGCAGATGACACATATACTCATTCTGAGTCACAATCTACAGCTATACTAAGTGAATCTGAATGGAGTCTTCTAAAGCATTTTCGCAATAAAAGTTGATAAATTCAAACATAATCTTTACCTTACATGCAATGAAAGATTTCTGTCAATATTACTTATAAGAGGGAATGCTAATGTTGCCATTATGAAAAGAACGCTCCAAAGAAATTCTCAGCGGATAACAATATAGATTTAGGTGAAATTCTCAATGAACTTCAGAGTCTTATCAAAATTGAGAAAATATTGATTGCGCAAGTTTTTCCTGTGATATAAGTCTATAGACTTTGCAGAGAACAACATGGATATTGTGGAAATGTAATCAATTTTTCTCAAGATATCCAAGATTTTGTTTCAAAACTTTCTTGACATCCATCATCATTAGATGTGCTTGTAATACATCATCAATCAGCAAGTAATTAAGAAGTATTTAGAGATTTTAAAGTTCGTTATACTAAGGTCACCTATGCATTGATTTGGCTAAAAAAAAATAATTGTTACTACAGTGATATAATAATTGATTTTGAAGTTCTTCAATTTTTACTAACTGATGGTTCAATTGGTGATCAGCTTAAAATATTGCCAAAGAAATGGATTATAAAAATGAAGAAAATATAATTACACATAACTTTGTTCTGCTTTCTCCTTCAGCTTATCGTGAAGATGTTGTCATTAAAAGTACCCTTGATCAAATACAGAAGAATAATCATCCTGTTACATAGCCACAAATAAATAGTAATTCTATCAATGAATTTCAGACATCATGATATATCGCATGTACATTTCCATTTTTATACTAAACTGAAAATGCAGACCTTTATATAGAACGCATTAAAAGTAATGCCAGCTAAATATTTCAAGCACTTTTTTATGTATAAAGATGGAAGATTTGCGTAACATGCTCAATAGTGATATTTTGTGCTGAATTCTCAAATGCGTTAGTAAGGACTACAAAAAGGAAAAGTATATGTTAAACAAATCTTACTGATCCTCAAATTATCATCTCAGATATTCAAAAAAGAATTAATCAAGGTGACGACTATATTTCTGACAGAATAATACGTTTTGTGAAGGATTACGTAGATACCTTCAGTTTTAGAATGCATGACGCTTTGAACTCTCTGACATAATAAAGCAAATAGGAGCACAGAACTTGGTCTTCTTTACATTTAGTGCTGCTGATTTGCACTAGCCTAACTTATGCCATCTAGTGATAACTCTGAAATTTCAGTTAAACATTATCACCAAAATATTATTAATAATCCCTATATTGCAGTCTGGTTTTTCAGCAAGCAATTTAAAATCTTCTTTAATGACGTCCTAGTATAACAATGGGATTTGAAGGATTGTGATATAGGTTCAAATGGCAACGTCATGGTAATGTTTACATTCATGAAATCGGAAAGAGAAGAAATACGCCTACAATAGAATGAAAGCAAATGGATAAAATCATATTACAGATCATATGATTTACTATGCCTCATAACTTGATTTTACTGGAAACGTTCCCATATAATATATCTGATATGATCAACAAATAGGATATATTAAACAGATTTAATATACTGTATATGATATATCAGATATATTTGACATAACGATATATTAAACATATTAGTTATATCTTTCTATATACTGTATTTTATATAAATAGATAGCTTTTTAAACTATGTAAAAAGAAGGATTAAACAAATCAGTTTTTTAGTAATTTTAAAAGGCAAACAGGCCTATTGTATTATACTTTAGTTTAGTATTTCATTTCTTTATTTTCTTTTCTTTTCTCTTGTCATATCTTTTATTTTCTTTGTTTCTATTTTTTATCTTATCAATAAACATTTTACTTGAAGATATAATCACTTGATACATCATGAATTGTTAATCGTAAAATACCTGTATAAACCTTTATCTGTAATAATAAACTTGTAAAGCCTTAAAATTATTGTGCAATTAAAAAGGTATAACATTCTGACTAAAGATGGTACAGCAATTGATTTCAAATTTACAAAATGTTGCAACATAATCTAAAATTAGTTGCAACATATATAGGTTAAAACTAATTACAACGTAAGTTGTAACATTAAAAGTTGCAACATATTAATTACAGTTCTCATCTTTAATTCTGACACCCCATCTAACAGTTGTAATTCACAAGAATTACTTGTTAACACTAATAATGATCATCCAACTATTTGAATTCTATTAAGTAAACTACTACTTAGAAAAAAAATGTAAAAAAAAAATTATAATGATTAGTAAATTTTTATTAGAAACTATTAGATAACTTAAACTTACTGATGAACTTATTGCAAATTATTCAAAATATTTCTAAAGAAGAAAAAAAAAATATTTAAGACCTTGTAAAAATGATGAATATTGATAAACTATAAATATCATTTAGATCAAGTAGTAAATTTAGCTATTTCAATTTTTGAAATATTAATATAATAGCTATTTTTGCATTTAATAATAGTACTAATTATAGTATAATAATAAAGAATAGATTAAATGTTTTAAAATAAATATAAACTTAGAAGGAAAATAACCATATATTTATACAACTTATTATAAACTAAATCAGACATTTTAATCTATTATTTTTTCACATTTAAATATCAAAGAATATGAAACAAATATTAATTGAAAAAAGTTTATAGAAAGATAATTTATTGGCTAATTGTTGATTATTGAAGGAAAACTAAATTTATAAATGTAAATAAAGTAAATTGTTATACTTATCAAATTTTATCATTACAATCAAATTTTTTAGCATAAAAATCTCAACTTTAAGAAAAATTAAAAAGCATTATCATAAATGCATTTTTTATTCTAAGTATTATTGTGAATTAAATTATATAGAAATATATTGGGATGCAGCAAAATGATATATATAAGAATATTACAATTATACATGAATAGAATTATAATAAACTATTTCTAAAGCTTTAGATTCAATTTCTTTAATTATACTTCATAAATATATACAAAATCATAATGATATATAAATGAAAAAATGGCAGAATTTGTTGCTAAACATATGGGCTGATTTAATTCCGTTCAATTTTATTACATAAATTTGAATTTTATTACTTCATGATATTTAAATTTTAAAATCAATAATAAATCTGTAATACAAAAAAATAAGCAGTGTTACTCAACTAATGATTAGGCGGACTGAAACACATAATCAATTGAGTAGCAGCAAGATTTAGCTCAATCTTTATTAAGTTTT